AAGTGATCGCAGCAAGTAATAAAAGCAGCGATACCTCGACACGAATGGGAAACTGCAAACAAGGACTCTACTACTGAGATTAAGGGTCCTGCCAACCAGATGTGAATGATAATAAACTAAAAATACTCGATAGGGTGCGACTTGTGTGTTATTAATGCTAGGGGAACCTACAGAACATGTACAAAGTGTCCGGAGAAAAACAGTATAATTGTATCTATTTAAACTTGGATCCAGATCTTACCTTCTCTGCTATTGTATTCTAAGATCTAATAGATGTGCGTTTTCTACGGAATAGTAATAAATTATGAATGTATTATGGTTTGATATATATGGTACGTTATATTCAAGTCTCGTTCTTGCAGCTTGGTCGCGAAATTTACATAAATTCTAGAAATACGTCAGTTTCCATACGCAAGTGTCTCCTTTACCTGTTCAACCATTGCTATTTTCACTATTCTGTTCCAAAGTGATTTTTCTTTGTCACTTCGTGAAAGATTTATCTCCGTGACAGTCGTTGTTTCTGTCATTCGCGTTTTGGGAGATAGAAAAATGTAGAGAAACTAAGTACGCGTTGCGATTTTACTTCTTCCATGAATTTCGAATTTCGGTTGAGAAATGAGTGAAAATTTAAAATTGGTAAATTTCTAATTTTTCAAACTTTTCAATTTTTTAAATATTCTAGAATATCTGCACATCCACAGATCCCCAAATCCCCAAATCTTCAAATCCCCAAATTTGTCAGTTCTCAAAATCTTCTAATCCCCAAATCTTCAATTCTCCAAATCTTCAAATCCCTAAATCCCCAAATTTCCAAATCCCCAAATCCCCAAATCCTCAAATCCCTAAATCCTCAAATCTCTAAATCTTCAATTTCAAGTATCCCCAAATTTCCGAATCCCTGAATCCCGAAATTTTCATATCCAAACATCTCCAAACCTTCAAACTTCCAAATTCCAAAATCCTCAAAATCCCCAAATTCCCCAAAATTCCTAAATCTCCCACGACAGGGTACGACATGGGCGTTATTAATGCTAGGGGAACCTATAGAACGTGTACAAAGTGTCCGGAGAAAAACAGTATAATTATTGTATCTATTTAAACTTGCATCCGGATCTTACCTTCTCTGCTATTGTATTCTAAGATCTAACTTACATTACAATTAGTATTAATTAAACAGATCAATCTATTTAGTTTTCCTCTCAATCGCTATATGAACAAGTGTAAAGAGAAATAATATAATTTTCGCACAATTATACCATAGTACAAATTATAGCACAATTATAGCACAAATAATCGGAACGAAATTGTACGTCAGGGGTTAAAGTTGAAATTTACAGTACCACCGAACGATCAATCGCGTTGAAGCATTTATGAACTGTATCGAGTTGCGATAACTCATTACGTAGCTTCACTCAAAACTATTGTTGTACGTTAATCGATCGATCAACTAACCGTACAGTTTAACACGACCGAATTCCTCATCGTGAATGCTATGTACCGGAAATCGGATGTGTATTGTTCACTATAACTTTACATGGTGACACCGCGTGTTTCTGGCAACACTGCGAACGCATATTTACGTCCAGTTCGTGCCTTGTAATTCTGTTTGCCAGCATGCAAATTTCACCTGATCGTTTGTTGCGAAATTGTTACCACTCGCGTGAGGAGTTCTTATAAATCGCTTTAGGATGTTTTTGAATAGATGACGGATGAATTGAGGGATCGTAGATGAGATTAGGAGCATTTTTAGTTTGGAAATATGGGAGTTTTAGAGGTTGATATTTAGAAATTTAGAAATATGGGATTTTTAAAGGTGGACATTTGGAAATTTGGAAAGAAGATTTATAAAGTGGAAATATGGGGAATTTTTAGGTTTACAAATTTTTAATTTACGAGATTAGGAATTTAATTAGGAATTTAGAAACTGAAGGGGTGAGAATTTAGGGATTTGGTAATTTGGGGATGTGAAAATTTGGGGATATAGGAATTTGGGGATATGGGTATTTGGGTATGTGAGAATTTGAGAATTTTGGAATTTGGGTATCTAGGAATTTAGGGATGTAGGGATTTGATAATGTAGCAATTGGGGATGTAGAAATTTGGGGATGTTGGACTTTGGAGATGTTAATTTGGAAAAGTGGGAATTTCAGAAATTCGGAATTAGGTTTAATAATTTCGGGGTTTAGAAATTTGAGGATTTAGAAATTCAGTAATGTGAAAATTTGTTAATTTAAAAATTTGAAGATTTCCAAATTTGAGGATGTAGCATTCTGAAGTATTAAAAGTTTTAGAATATTGAAAATTGTTGAATAAACTTCTGAAAATCTATCACACTTGACCTTGAACGTATGACCTTAAACTGATGACCTTGAGCAACCTTCAAAAGTTTAACTCTAACCAGCACAGAATTCTTTAACCAGCACACAATTCGAAATTAAAACAAATAAATAACCGATTAAATACAATTAAACATACACATTCCCTACTTCAATGAAAATCAATACAAATTGCAGACAAATTACCTTAATGAATTCTGTGGAAAATAAAAACGTTCATGAATTAACTGACCGATTTAGTAATTTCATTGTCAACAATCATTCAGTAATTAATGTTAAAAATCACTCGGACGAGCTAATCAGTCAGTCCAAATTGAAAGCAAGCATCGAGGAATAATAACGATTATTGTTGATTTTATAATTTAATATCGTCCTACATGAGATTCCAGGAATTTCGTTCGTGGTAATTAATTAATATAGTCGGATGAAAAATTTCCGAGTGAAATATTAAATGTTGGTTTCAGTTAATTTAAAATGTTCGCTAAAATATTAATTGAAGAACCCGTATTAAGAACGTGTATAATACATCGACTCGAAAAAGGAGGTTTAATTAAACAATCCTCGTAAATGCGAAATTAAATGGTAGATGCTAATTGCTAGATCCATTTAAATGGGTTAATCAATTGATAATTTGCAATCGCGTAATTACATGTTTTAATCACGCTAATTGCGGAATGTCAATAAATATGTAATTCGGACACCGTGATGTGGCACAACAGATAATTAATTTAATTAATCCACTCGGACAATTATTATTCCAAAAAATTTAGTGTACTTTCATATTTGCACGACTTTCTATTTGTTAAAATATTTTCTGTGAAATTAAATTACATTTTTATTCAGATAATTTCTTATTGTCATTTTCTGTTCTTTTTGCAAATGATTTTTGTACAATTTCAAAATTAATTTTCTGTATTTTGATCATTTTTCTTAAAAAATTCTTTTATAATTTAATGCATGATTTTCGAATCTAGTCAAAAAGAAAATTATTAGTTATTATAGTAAAGAAAGTTATAAATCATTTAATCGAAAAAAGTTACAAGAGTGAATTAATATTAAATACTAATTATTAAAATAGCAGATACCAAAGATTATTTTTGTATTAATAATTTTATTATAAGGAAAGTTCTTATATTTTGCATATTTTATTTCAACTATATCTGGGTCAAAATGACCACGCAACTGTCGTGGTAGGATTAATGTTGCACGGCTGTAACGTCATTGATTTAGTACAACTTCAATATTGGTTTCGGTTCACTTCTATTCTAATTCACACTCGGTGCCATCTCACTTCCGGTTCCGTATCAGACCCGGTTCTATTTCAGTGTAAATTTTGCCCTCCTTTCTATACCATGTTCCACTTTATTTCCTGCTTCCATAATACTCTTAAAAAATGTAACACGTAAATAACTTCGCTTGATAGTTTGATTAACTGCCAATTTTACTCCACGGATTTATTTCTTTTGTGAGTCAGTTTTATTTTACAATGTAATTGATTAAAATACTTCAAATTTGAAATAGATCGCTAAGAAAGAAGTGTAAGAGGAGGATTTCCGAAACCCTTCAAAATACAAGGAAGTTTCCAGTTTCGAGAATTTGAAACTCTGTGCTTTTTCCGTGATTTGAAACTCTCGAAAAGGGAAGACGTACAAAATTAATGAATCGTTCGTACCTTGCCTTGAGAATGTTTTATTTACTTGTGTTTATGTAGGAAATAATTAAAGAATTACGTAAGGAATAATAGTGAGAAATAACTTTTTGTGATGTCTCGTATGTGCTCACAACATGTGAGGTCTCAACACATATTACAGCAAGAGGAAACATCAGTTCAAGCTTTTAGCGATACAATACTTGAACGATTCTTTGTTTCTTCACATTTTTAGCTTTAAATCAATTACCCTTAGCAGTAAGACCCAAGGTCATTACATTCTAGCGAGTATTTTATTGTCAGTCACATCTGGAATCCTTAACCTTAGCACAGTCTTCTGTCTGCAGTTTTCTATTCATGTCGAGGTATTGCGTTTTATTACTTGCTACAGTCACTTTGTGCAAACAGACCCACTTCATACGTCCCTTGTATTTCCATCTCCACCCGAATTTTACCTAAACCAATAGAAAAGAAACTGTTTTCCCTCAGCAATGTCACAAAAATTCTACTCACTCCGAGCTTTTGAAACGTAAAAATTCTTCGAAGACTCTCGAGTCATCAAGTACATAGCAAAATAAACTCTAGTCCGAAGTGAAATTCATTTAGATACGGTCCACTTATATTCACTTGTTGGGAATCCTAATGATTCGCGTCGTTTAATCGTCACTTACTACTAACGCTGTGAGGCACATACAATTTACACCACGTGCTAGCGATCTTTTTTATAGGGCATAACAAATTCACAAATATCCACCGAGTCAAAATAAATAAATTTCTCTGCTATTACGTGACAGGCAGCTTCGTTTGCAACATTGAAACGATTAAAAATTCGATACTACACTTTTGAAATGTTCACGTTATTTAAAACATAGTTATATAAATATGGCGGTCTTTTTTATAGGACGCTTCATTAATTCAGCTCGTACCAAAAGGTTTTTAAGTTGAAAGAGTTAAGTGGAGAGAGATGTACAAGATTAATTAAAGAAATGTTATTGAAAGTATAAAATCGTACTCACCAACGTGGAAAGCAATGAGGTGTCGTAATTCAGGATCGACTCCAAGTCGAGATCGTCTGGATACGTCCTGGTATCCAAGCTTTTGGAGAAATTGGTCCTGTATCTCGAGCGGCTTCTCCTCGGAAGCCAATCTTCTTCCAGACTCGCCCCCGTACTGAAAACCGAGCGTAATCTCTTAATGGATCTTATTATCGAAATTCACGGCTCGAGATCGTCCGTTATCTTCTTCGCGCGATAAAGAAATTCAAAAGTACTCCTGATGCACCGCATTTAAATATGCATTACCTTACAAGAGTAATGCGCCGGGGATCAAATAAGTGTTTGCACACTCTTTATGGAGGAACATCTTTCGTGAAGCTCGTATAAACGACTTCGGATATTTTCACACCCGAAGAGGAATAGTTTTTACTAATTCACACGGTGCATTTAAAAATAGTTTTGAATTGCTGAATGAAAAGATTTGTAGAAATTGTGGAATATATTTTGTAAATTTGTAGATTATTGGACTGTTAAGTTTTATATTTTTTAATTGTTGTATGGTGGAGATTATTTAATTTAGAAGCAAATAATTGAATTCACAATTTTTAGTTTTTCAAAACATCAAATTTGTAAATTTGTTAATTCTGAAATTTTCTAATTTCCTAATTCTACAAATTCTCTAAATTCTCTGAATTTTTTAAATTCTCAAAAATTCTATAGATTGTATGAAGTCTCAAAATTCTCCAAATTCTCCAAATTCTCCAAATTCTCCAAATTCTCCAAATTCTCCAAATTCTCCAAATTCTCCAAATTCTCAAAATTCTCAAAATCCTCCAAATTCTCCAAATTCTCCAAATTCTCCAAATTCTCCGAATTCTCCAAATTCTCCAAATTCTCCAAATTCTCAAAATTCTCAAAATCCTCCAAATTCTCCACATTCTCCAAATTCTCCAAATTCTCCAAATTCTCAAAATTCTCCAAATTCTCAAAATTCTCCAAATTCTCCAAATTTTCCAAATTCTCCGAATTCCCCAAATTCTCCAAATTCCGCAAATCCCAAAAACCTCAAAATCCCATCATCCTAAATCTCCAAATTCATCATAACTCTCAGCATCGAATACTCGAACGTATTCCGGTCATTGAAATTAAGATGAAGTTGTGCTCGTACGCGCGTCCGAGTTAATTCGTTTAAGGAGATTTACGCGTAAAACTCGTTGTTCCTGACAAAAACAAACAGCGAACTGTGATGTTGTTAGTCGACAAACAACGCCAGATGTTCGGACATTTCAAGCTAGTTTCAAAAGCGCAATGCTAATTCCTCAAGATTTTAATCAAATTTTCAATAACGACAACTTCTCTGAACCGGTATTGAGATGCTACGATTTCATCCCTCTACCTGGACCGTACCGTAGTTTCTAATTATTAATACAAACTTTGTTGCAACTTCAATACTCAGAAATTGTAGACAATTCTTATTCAAGCACTGCAAAATGTTATTTCACAGAAACGAACTTTTGTTCAATTTTGTTGTTCTAATTAATACGGAGAAATAATAAAATGAAATGATAAAATTGAATATTGCTGAAACTGAAAACTGTAAATTGTGAAAATATAGTTAAAAAAATTAATTAAATTAATGTTAATATTCTATGACGAATGTACGTTATACAATAATAAAAATTTTATATAAAATTTCATTCAAATAATTTATAAAAATTCCAGAAATTTAATTTTCAAAATCTCCTAAAAAATTTTGCTACAAAATAGAAAAAGTAGAGTTGGAAATGTTTAAAAATATCTCAAAATGTAGAGCAGTGAAATTTTAATTAAGGCACGGCAGTTTAGGTAACCGGCATTTAACATTAACGAGTGCCCATAAATATGCAAATGTGTTCTGTTAATTATTTACAGTTACGTACAATTTTGTGTCGTTTAAATGGTATTCCATCATGATAAAATAACTGCGTCGCAATTAATGTCAACCATCGTCGCAATGTAATAGTGTATAAATAATGCACGAGTGAGAAATAATTGCTCGCTAGATATTGCAATTATCTGCGGTATATCGAATAATAATTAATGAAACGTGTAATTTTAGGGGAACGTTCATCACGTAGTAGAAAATATGTCTATTATCAAAATTGTTGAAATTATGGATGTAGGATTTTAACTTTTATTCGAAGGAAATTTTTTTGAAAAAGAAAATCAGGCAAAGACGAGAAAGAGGTAATATTTGATGAAAAATTCAAGAATTTTTAAATTGTGACAAAATATTGGAAAGCTTGATAAGCAATGATTTTAAGATTGATAAGTAATAAAATTAAAATTGATAAGAAATAATATTTAGATTGGTAAGCAATAATATTTAGATTGATAAGAAATAATATTTAGATTTGTAAGCAATAATATTAAAATTGATAAGCAACAATATTAAAATTGATAAGCAATAATATTAAGATTGATAAGCAATAATATTAAGATTGATAAGCAATAATATTTAGATTGATAAACAATAATATTCAGATTGATAAGTAATCAATGAATAATTCAAAAATAATTAATAAAATAAAAAATATTTAATAATCGAAATAATTAATAATTCAAAAGTAATATTTTGATAATTAATATTTCAGCTAATTTTCTTTACTTGCAGATGTCATAAATCACTACATCTACTATTTTAATAATACAATTCTTTATTATTTTTCACATTATTATTTTCTTTTCTTCACCTTCCTCAACATTTTCTAATTTATTTTATTTCTTTTTCCACTCTTGTTTATCTTTCTTCACTTATCTCCATTTTCGTTTTTCTTCCTGAGTCAGTGGTCATAAACTGTGTTACATTTAAAGCATCTTACGGTGAAATACAAAAAAAAAAAAATGAATCTGTATTTGTTAATATGTAATACAATTTCTTACTACCATTTTACAAATCATCATAAGTATTTAATTAAAAATAATACATTTTTAACTTTCCTCAAAATCATCTAATTTATTTTAATTCTTCTATTTATTTTTCTTTATTTATCTCTTCTTTTGTTCTTATTTATGAGTCGTAAGCAGTGCCACGGTCTGAGAGTAAGCAAAGAATAAAAAGAAAAAATACCTACATAAAAAAAGAAAGCGCGAACAAATGAACGAATAAAATCAGCTGATTGAGTGAGTGCGAGAAGTGTAAGTGAAGAAAAAGATACCGGATGATGAATTGCAAGGAAAAAGCGAAAATAGGAGAGAAAAATTGAGTGATCGAACAACGGAAAAGAAATAAATGGTAACTGGTTCGAAGAAAAGAATGGTGGAAGGGATGGAAAGAAAAAGCTGAACAACTCGACGGTTTTAACTCGAACATCCTCGTTAAAGCCGGCGAGAAAGCCTTATTTTCGTTCGATAGAAACGACCTTATCGATCCAATCGACCGTGGTATGGCAGCCAGAGCTACCTGCATCCCACAGGAGGCTCGTACGTAATTAACGAAACTAATTATAAACGGGAGGTATCTTGCATAGACGATTTTGTTCCCTTCAGACTATTACGTTGCATACCAACTTGTCAATTTCGCAGTCAAGTATAATTTAGTGTAACTGATGCAACATTGCATGGACATGTCATAGATTTAGGTCACATCATAGTCTAATCACAATGTCTATGTGATTTGTCAATGTTCATACGACGATCGATTAAAAAAGGCAATGAGGCCGAAGTTTGTATATTGACCAAAAATTAATTTTGGGACGTATGAAGGTTTGTGTGATTTCATGACAGAAAAGTATCGCAAAACAAGGCATATGATACATCAGTTTTTAGGTTTAGGTTTAGGGAAAATGTCTGCGTAAACAGTTTATGAATATTCATACGGAGGACTGATTGATCGATTGTTAAAGTTGGCAATGAGTCAGATGAAGTTTGTATAATGACCAAAAATTGATTTTGGAACGTATAAAGGTTTATGCGATTTCATGACAGAAAAGTGTTGCAAAACAGGGCTTATGATACATCAATTTTTAGGTTTAGGTTTAGGGAAAATGTCTGCGTAAACGGTTTATGAATATTCATACGGTGGAGTGATTGGTCAATTGTTAAAGACGGCAATGAGTCAGATGAAGTTTGTATATTGACCAAAAATTAATTTTTGGAACGTATGAAGTTTTATGCGATTTCATGACAGAAAAGTGTTGCAAAACAGGGCTTATGATACATCAATTTTTAGGTTTAGGTTTAGGGAAAATGTCTGCGTAAACGGTTTATGAATATTCATACGGTGGAGTGATTGGTCAATTGTTAAAGACGGCAATGAGTCAGATGAAGTTTGTGTAATGACCAAAAATTGATTTTGGAACGTATGAAGGTTTATGCGATTTCATGACAGAAAAGTGTTGCAAAACAGGGCTTATGATACATCAATTTTTAGGTTTAGGTTTAGGGAAAATGTCTACGTAAACGGTTTATGAATATTCATTTAGCGGAGTGATTGATCAATTGTTAAAGTCGGCAATGAGTCAGATGAAGTTTGTATAATGACAAAAAATTGATTTTGGAACGTATGAAGGTTTATGCGATTTCATGACAGAAAAGTAAAGCAAAACAGGACATATGACGCATCAATTTTTAGGTTTAGGTTGAAGGAAAATGTCTATATAATTCAAGTACCAAAAGTTCTACATCAAGTCCTCAAATCTCTGTCAAACTGAATCTCAAAATAGCCAAATCAATTTCCAACATCATCTCTCTGATTTCAAGTATTAATAAAATTATAATTCACATCGACTGATGTCAATTTTACTCCAACCTAAACCACAAAAGCATTGAATACGTAATGAAGGTTGGTACCGAAAGAAACACGGACTTAATTAAATAATAAATTAAGGAAGTACTGATATAACTAAAATCGATTCTCATTAAAGCGGCTTGTCGTTTATATCGAATTCTGTCAATCATATTTAATTATTCCAAATTTCTATTCCAGATTCGTTGACTGTCATATCTGGTGGCTTTGTATGAAACCGTCGTTCAGGAACAATATAAATTATTTCGTGTTTTTACTAAATATGTGTGGAGGTATTAACCTGCTGAAGAATTATTCATGCGGACGAAATTATCGGTGCACCTTGAAAGACGATTATAAATTAATAAATGAGAGTTCTTTGATCGATTTTGCTCGTTAATGTCTTTTGA